ACCATCAAAGCACTGCTAATTTTCGACAACCTCTCCAATTCCATCACGACCACCAGCGAGATACCCGGTCAATTATCCACCTTACTACACGCTCCTTAACGCAACTATTCACACCGCAGTCCAAGAGTACGTTGTCTCATCCCTGCCCCACCTATTATTACATTTAACGGGAGGACTCGCCGCTATCGAAAGAGAACAGTGAGCATTGACCAGAGGTAAAGGGGAACAGCGACGACCACACCCAAAAGGAAGCCACGTAGGAAGACGATATATGCTGATAACCACGGCGACATAGACGTCTCTGTGCTACATCAATCTGCCACCTCTACCACGTACGCCAACAACAACAACAGCAACACCGGCAACGAACATGACAACAATAGCTACCACAAAGGCAAAGCCACGTCCAGACGCCTTGCATGAGGCTACCCATTCCCCTGGCCTTTCGTTCTACTGCCTACGTACATTACGTCAGAAGAAGCTTTGCCACACCACGTTCCATGAAGTAGTATAGACACAGCTCCACTCGCAAAGCAGAGCATCGAATCATTACCATAAATGTCAATGGGGCAGGCCTCCATCACAGTCTCTTCCACAACACCCATACTCACCTTCAATGAAGATCCTGCAGGTGGGCGACGAGAAGCGTTATCCAACAGGAGGACGCTGATCTGTCACATCCACGGCCAAGGACCGACCATTGCAAATCGAGATGTTCCATCGGGCAAAATCGAAGTTTGCATAGTAGGCAATGAATCCAGCAAAGAGCTCACCTGATGTGTACCTGTTGGCACTGCGCAGCTCTTCCCACGGCAGCTCCAAATCCATATCTACCTCCTCCAATGCACGCTCGCAGTCGAAGATCTTCTACAGGATGTGAACAAGTTAGCCGCCAATACGCCCATTTAACAGTCTTATCCACAAATATTGAAATATCTTTTAAATCATATCCCCTGAGGCCACATATCCAGCACAGAGACCACAGCACAACTTCTCTTCCAGGAAGTGCGGTCACAATCACAGTATGAACCCGAGAACCCCATATAACAATTTAAAAGAATTTCACTCGAGTCGAACGATATTTATCCCACTTCTACTAACATTATCTCATCCCCCTTATTCTCTACTAACATTCCTTGGCTAATGTCCACACATCTTCCAATGCAAATGGTTTACACGAATTCAATAAAGATATTCTCATCACAACATAAATTAATAAGTACTTTGTCAACTCAAATTCCAAGCCACCCAGGAATCATCTGTGCACCAGTGAAAAAAATACTACAAAAGACGACAAAGTCTAGTCAAGGGTCATCAATTTGACACACTCGAAGGGCAAGGATTTATCCGGCCAAACAGACTACTTCTCGCTACTTATACGCAATAAGTAGTAAAGCGCACTCAGTAAATCAATAGCTTACAGGGAAACGAGCCTGCAGATTCGGTACAACAGGAGGCGAGCATCCACACTGCAGGTATTGGATTACCATCAGCACCAGAGCATATGTGGAAAGCCTCCTCTTACTACCACCATGGATACCCATCCTTTGAGCCCAGTGCTTCACAAACATGCCCAGGGCAGGCACCCGACGGTCGACTGTGAAAGAGTAAATTCATACTTCTCAAATCCACTGCATCAACTGTGTGCACACCCCCACCCCAACACATCAAATAACCGACTGATCCTCTTATAGCACAACACAATGGTTACGGAATGCTTCACCTTCCACCCACGCACTACCGCAACACTCTTGTACTTGCAAGTGAACAACTAGGCACACGACAATATGTTCGCTTAGATGAAGCAAACACAAAGCGGCAGCCTATAGCCAACTGTGCAGATGATGAAGGCAGTGAAGCTCCCTACCAACACAACAACATCCTCTATAAAAAACGCATTTATGTCAACAGAGACCTCAATGTTAGCCAGACAGCTCAACCGTCACACTGGTGTTTCAAATCTATTCCCTACACAAAGCCAGAGTGACACAATGAAGTACAGTAAGACGGGTAAATTCATTTTTGCCTCAACACGACGTGAGGAGGGATTTCAACGAGAAAAAATAAAGATAGTCTCACCTCGAGCGTACATGGCAAGAAGATGGGTGTTGTAAATGCCCACCACATTGTTGAGGCTCAAATAACAATCAAAACCGGACAGTTGGTCATGTAACTTAAGAATCGGCACATTTGCACGAATCCGTTCACAATTTGAGAGGGAACCTGGAAAGAAACACAGAACGCTTATAACAGTAACATGTTTACGGTTTATAGCGATTCAGCTTCCAATCAAGTGACACACAATGTTTTTATACCAATTCTACTAACAGACCCGCTGCCTTCCCCCCTGCCCTCCCAAATGCAACAGACGCCCCAACACGCCCCGCCGCACACCCAACAATCACTTCACGCACTGCAGTGGCAATAATGGGCCATTAACAAAGGCATGCCATTCCCACTTCTCACTTTACACAAGGAACACGTTTACGACCAACGACTCACACTTCTGGAGCAATAGATTACGGAGTTTACGCAGCACCGCCTTAGCACCTGTCTTGCTCGGCAACTCCTGTAATGGAATCACAAGGCACAAATCAACGTCGCTTCGATCCCATCCAAAACCATTGGCTGAGGAGCCCACAATAAACAGCTTCGAGTCTACACAATAGAGAGAATTCAACGAAAAATAAAGCAAGTGGAGGAGAACAGACTACAACTTCAGGTGACGAATATGTAGACATAGAGCAATGAGATTAAGGCATGGGTAAAGAATGGAGGGATGAATGGATGGGTGTATGCACACAGGGTGCATAGGCTTGTGGATTTGTGAATCTACTATAACAGCAAGGAACATTGGACAGAAAAAGTGAACTGTCAATTGAAGGCGCACAACTAACAGATCCATGGACATATGTGGACACGCCTATACATCGCCACAGACAAACCGTTTGATTTGCCACTGTGTGACCAATTCGTCCAACCGGTCAATCAATTGACGACATGGTGAAACTGTAAAGGCATGGCCGATGGATAACAGAATGAAAAGAATTCAGGAGCTAACTCGTCGTTCTTGCATGGACCGACAAGCACGCGGCCCCATGAAGTATTAATAATGTGCAGGACGTCGCTGGATATCAATCTTACATCAAATGGTGCGTTTATAACCATTACACGAAAACAAATACGTTGGTTACACACACGTACTTAACGTGCTCGAAATAACGTCAACAAACAAACGTCGCTCAAACTCACTTGGAAAAGATGACACAATAATGAAGTGGAGTTGATTTTTAAATCTCATCTTCGCCTCAGATGTTTCATACTTCTGACAATTTTCTTGGAAAAACGTCCCTATTTGCGTTGAGACACGTTTGAGGTAGTTCATTGTAGGATTGCTCAGCGCTGTCATGAATTCCTTTAACTCGACAAGGAAAAGTAGCGAAATAGTTATCTTCCAAAACCGTGGTACTCATTCCTCGAACCATAACTTGTGTACGCCTAGTTGACACAATCACTATATCGTCAGTTCAGATCACCAAAGCCATCAAAAACAAAAAAGTTTGCCAAGTGGCTTTTAATTGCACTTAGTTTCCTACCTGCACGAGAGCAAGTACTACCACGTACGTACATTTGAGTCAGTAGTTAGGCTGTACGCAGAGGAAGCAACTCACCGTTTGGGAACAGAAGCAGCAGCGGTGACGCCACACCTACTCCCCTAAATACATTCTCGGTAATAAATCAAATCAAGTTGTAATCGGGAGCGGAATACACGCACTTGGCTTAAAGATGCGCTTAAACAAAAATTATTAGACTAGAAACAGCAGTAGCAGCTCCACACCATCCTCCTTAAATACGCTTCTGGTAATAAATAGGGCCAAGTTGTGATTGGGTGCGGAATACAAGAGCCTTATTTAGAGCTACGTTCAAACAAAAAATGAATGCTTAGTTAACGATGAATCAATTACATTAGCATACACTGTTTAGTTGCTGAGAATCCTAGTGCAACATTTCATCGTCTATCAACCAACGTGTTGGTTGGAATACGGAGACGTACAACAGAATTCACCTTAACTCTCATTCCAAACGAGGGTGTGCAGTTAAGTTGTTTGGCATGCCCAGACAAAGTTTTAACAAGAACAACGGACAAAGTAATGGGCAGGTTCTGACCAGTACCACCGGCAAATAACAACTGAGGCGTTCACATTGACAGTACTTCCATACACAACCTCCCTTCCTCAATTCACTCATCTTCCGCGGACTCACAAATTTTACACTCAACCGACCGTCTCAGCTTCGCACACTTATGCCTTAACTTCCACACATCCAACCATCCATCACTCACCCTCGTCCACACATGGAACGACCCACTTCAACAAGTGCATGGGGTAAGCAACCGCCCAACCAAGCAAACTCTCCGCCCAACGCCAATTATCAAGCGATGACAGTTGAACAAGAATCCCAAACAGAGAAGGACGAACTCCTTTTGGCAATTCATACACTCTGTGCCAATGCTTGCATTCCCATGGTTGGTCTCCTCGTGAGTGCAGGCAACCACAGATCCATTCAAGACTCGACTACGGCACATTTCGTTTCTGTCTACCAAAAAAGCAAATTAACAAATCAAA